ATAAAAAGCCGGATTCCGTTCAAATTTTACCGCTGAGTGATTCATGACAACGTACTAAAGTATTCCAAGTTTGAAATAACATATTACTTAATAACTAATAATGACATAACTAATAAAATTAAACATATTATATGAAATGAAATGAAATGAAATGAGGTATTTATATCCCGCTCATATGATTAACCAACAACACAAGGAAGAGGTTAACCATGTCAGAGCGGCTGACTGTGAGTAAAGTGAGCAAATGTGTAAAATGAACAAAAGTATAACTCAAAAAGGCTTAAGACAAAATTAAAACATCTTTTATTGTAAACACCACACTAGACTAAAAAGAAGCAGAAACCATACAATACGTGTAGGTATTATAAATGATAATACAGTGACATGATCAACAAAAAAGAGAGACAGATCCTAGAAAGGTAGAGATCGAGACATAAAATGGAGTGCAGTAAAAAATAAAAGCCAATGTGTCTTGCAAAGTGAAGACAAATGGGAAGAAAAAACATCAAAACTGATTATATAAATGGTTCTTTAACATTCGCTTGAAGCAGTTGGTATCAGTAATACATCTCAACATCATTGGAAGAGAGTTCCATGCAATCGGTGCATGGCTTGAGAAACGTCTGTCATCAACTTTTGACCTTTTATTCTTTGGTACCTTTAACATGAGATGGTCACCAGATCTTTTCGACCTGGTCATGGTGTTTGAAAGTTCTGTATCCATTACAGCCACATCTAGTAATGCTTTAAGGTAATCAGGTGCAGTACCGTGAACTGATTTGTGGGTTAAAAGACAAACCTTAAAGAAGATTCGTTGGTCTATAGGGAGTATGTGGGCCTTCTTATAGAAGGGAACCAAGTCCGTGGTTCTGTCTTCTATGTTATAGATGAAACGAACTGCCCCATTAAGGGTGGATCTAAGTTTGTTTAATCTGGTCTTGGGTAGATTCATGTACAGAGAATTACAGTAATCTAATTTAGATATAACCAGTTGTTTCACCAACATCAATTTAATGCCTTCATCCAGGTAACGACCAATAGTTCTTAAGTTCATCATTGTCCAGCTACATTTCCTTTTCACATTATTTATTTGTCTTTCCATGTTTAAAGTTTCATCAAATTTGACACCTAGACTCTTCCAGCTGTCTCCTTTGCACTCCGTAGGTAGAATTTCAGTGCTTCCGAATTGTAGTCTGACACTGAGTTCACACTTTTTTTGAACATGGCTCTTTCCTAACACCAGTAGTTCTGTCTTTGTTTCATTCAGTTTCATGTAATTGTTCACCATCCATGTTTTGATCTCTGCAAGACATTTGTTTGTCCTGTCTTGGACATCAGTGAACTGTACCACACGGTTTGGTTGAAACGAGATGTACAGTTGAGAATCATCTGCATATAGCTGTATATCAAGACCATATTTGGCAGCAATTTTTTGGAGAGCTTTGATATAGAGGATGAAAAGAATAGGCCCCAAGAGTGATCCCTGGGGAACTCCAAACAAAAGCTCCAAGAAAGTAGAAAGAGTATCGTCAATCTTCACACAGAAGTGTCTCTTCTCAAGGTAGGACTTTATCCATTGCAGTGCACTTCCAGTAATTCCATAGTCTTTCATAAGCTTTTCCAATAAGACTGTGTGGTCAATGGTATCAAACGCTGCACTTAAGTCGAGAAGTACAACAATAACAACATTCCCAGCTTCAATTTCTTTGTTAAGATCATCACACATTCTTACAAGTAATGTTTCACAGCTGTGGTTAGGGCGGTATCCCGATTGGACCACCGAGTAGAGGCTATGTGTCGTGAGATGGACGTTGAGCTGGTTAAGTACAGTTCTCTCTAGGATCTTGGAGAAGGCAGAGAGGTTAGAGACTGGTCGATAGTTACTGAGAATATCAACATCAGCATTTTCCTTCTTCAAAGTCGGCTTGATGACTGCTTTCTTCATATCTGAGGGAAAGATTCCAGTCTTTAAGGATGAGTTCAAGACGTGGAGTAAAATAGGTGTCAGTTCAGCGACACAGTTTTTTAAGAGAAATGCTGGGATCGGATCCAAGCAGCAGAACTTGTTAGACATCTTCGATACCAGGTCTTTTAGTTCATCAGCTGTTATCTCAGAGAAATTATCAAAGATGAAGTCTTTATCAAGAACAGGATCTTTGTCTTTGTCTTTGTCTTTGTCTTTGTCTTTGTCTTTGTCTTTGTCTTTGTCTTTGTTTATATCTTTGTCTTTGTCTTTGTCTTTGTTTATATCTTTGTCTTTGTCTTTGTCTTTGTCTTTGTCTTTGTCTTTGTCTTTGTCTTTGTCTTTGTCTTTGTCTTTGTCTTTGTCTTTGTCTTTGTCTTTGTCTTTGTCTTTGTCTTTGTCTTTAACAGAATCTTTTCCTTCCTTCTCAATGGCTCGTCTGATGGTAGCAACCTTTTCAGCGAAAAAATCTTTAAAATCTTCTGATAGTTTAACAGGATCCTTGTAGTTTGGAAGGTTTTGGGTGTCATTTCCTAAAAGTCTGTTGACTTTTTTGTACAATGCTTTAGTATCCCCTGAAGAGGACCTAAGAGAGGTTTTGTGGTGAGCACATCTTTTAACAAACTCTACTAGGGAAAACTCATCTCTTAGCTTAACATAATCAGATCTCAAGTACTCAGATCTTTCACTATCTATATAATCTACTTTATCTTTTCTCCAGGCACGTTCCGCAGTTCTCCTTTTTCGCCTGAGAATACGAAGTTCTAGATCTAACCAGGGCATTGGCTTCTTGGTAATCTTCTTTTTTATGTAGGGACAATGTTTATCCATTAACTGAGTGAGTACGGTGTTGTAAAGGACGACAGCATCATTCGGAGACATATCTTTGGGGAAGTTTGTCAGTTTTGAAATTACAATATCTTCTTTAAACTGTTCTGTATCAATTAAATTAAAGTTTCTGTAGTTCATAAATTTAACGTCTTCTTTGGTCTTTGTCTTGATGTCTGCATCGAAGAGGACAAGAAAATGGTCAGATTTGGTTCTTGAGGGACGGATTTCAAATGAAGTCAGTTTTTCCTTGAAGGATCTATTAGTAACTACAAGATCTAGGGTTCCACCTTGGTCATGGGTTGGCTCAAGAGGAACATGTTGATAAAGGTCATACTCCTCCAGGAGTTGGTAGAGCTTCTTTGGGTAGTGTTCTTCAGTCTTTTCCATGTGAAAGTTGAAATCTCCAGCGATAATAGGAAAACCAGGTTTGACTGTGAGGTCTTTAAGGTAGTCTTCAAATTCTTCTAGAAAGGCACACTCCGTGTACCGAGCCTTCTTGGTGTAAGGAGGCCGATACAAGTTCACAAGTCTCACAATATCTTGTTGAGATTGTAGCAGTGATTCCATCACTTGGAAGGATTTGTACTTCGTGACCTTACTATTACTTTTTAACTGGAGGACATCACGAAATAGCATAGCTATACCTCCTCCTCCTCTATGTTTTCGTGGGTCCGAGAGTATATTCCAACCAAGGTCTTTGATCTCCATTATCTTAGCTGTGTTTCCATCACGAAAGAAAGTTTCTTGTACAAAACAGATGTCACAGTCAACTTCTTGAAGATGCTCTAAGACTCCGACTGTTTTGTTCACTAGGGATCTTACATTGAACGTTCCAATCCTTAAAATCTTCCTAGGCGTAGTTTGGTCTCCTTTGTCTTCTGTACGTACCAGTTTTTTGAACTCTCACATCCTGCTGTCCTATTCATGATTCCAATCCGTTCTCTTACATACGAGGGACATAGGTTGTCAGAGGCTTTATGGGTCTTTGCTGAGTTCTTCTCCGAGTGTTTACTACTTTTGGCGCAGTTAGAGCACTTTATCTTTGTGACAATATTTTCACTCTTGCTTCTACAGTCTTTTGACTTGTGGTTTCCTGCACAGAAGAAACATGTTGGGTCTTTATCTTTGGCTTTACAGTACAGGGAGTTAGCCATGTGACCAAATTCCTGGCAATGATAACATTGGATGACATGAATTCGGTCTGTGACATGGTGTTCCCTAAGGTCAATGTGTACATAGTCTCTGTTTTGTCTGATTGACTCACGTACTGCTGCAGTGACACGGATGACAGCCGTTTTCTCTTTATCATCGAAGAAAACCACTTTAACCGCATCGTCTTTTTCAGAAGAGGACTTCAGTACTTCATTCTTTTCCAACAGTTTCTCTAGCAATGTATCCTTGTTTGTGATGTCAGAGGGAATATTTCGAATAGACAGTTTGGGGTCCAATTTCTTCCCTGGTTCGGACTTTGTCGATACCTTGTATTTATCTTGACTTTTAAATACCGTCTCAGCTTTGTTAAGTTGATCCTTGGTACTGAACTTGAAAGTCGCAGTATTTCCGGACACTCTAAAATTCTTCACTGGGTTTATTTTAAGGGAACCTTTCATTTCCTTTTCATCATCAATTGTGATAGGTTCTGCGTCTTCAGAGTCTGTGGTATTTTTCTCAACTGTGAGTGTGTGTTTTTCTGCAAGCATAGTTTCTTCTTTTGCTTTCTTTTCTTTGGGTAGTGTTGCTACCACTGTATTCAATAAATCTGGTAGTATTGTGGGCAGTACTTCTGCTAGTACCTCTTTGAGCTGTGTCTTTATAATTTCCTTGAAATCTGGTGATTCCTGTTTAATAGGAGTTGTGGCTTGTTTTGTTCCTAAAACTTTTTGTGTTAGTTGGAAAGCATTTTTGGGGAAAGTGTACAAATCCTGGATAACAACAAACATCTCCATTTTTTTATTTGCAGACGTAAGGTCATCAAATATCGCTGATTGAATAGTTACCTTAATCTTATTGTCATTATCATCTTTCTTACCTTTAAACAAAAGTGTATTGCGGTTTATCTTTTCCAATTGTTCCTCCATCTTTTTCATGTCCAACTTCATCTTTTCCATGTCAAAAACCCTGCTAGAAAGATCAAGGACCGAAGGGACAAGTGACAAATTGTCAGTTCTTAAAAAAACTAAACAACTGTTTTGTAATAATTCGATACCTCAAATTATTTGTTATATAGTAGTGTTGAAAGTATTAAAACATATGTATAAAATATATCATTTTATCAATAAATATCACGATATGGCTGACATCTGCCACGCTGCGAGGGTCCATTAAAATTGAAATGCTGTCAAAGAAATAAATATGGCAAATATTAACTCTCCAATCTGGTCATTTTAACGTTATGAAGCTGCATGCAACCATGGAATAGTTTAAGAAATAAATAAAAGCTGCTTAAATATATTTATTTAAATATATTTAATTTCACCAACATGGCCGTTCGTCCATCACAGAGGCATGTAGCCGGAACGTCGACAAAATATGATGCAATCGAGTTGGGAGGAGGCACTTAATCGTCTTCTTTGTAAAGAATAAAAGCTTAAATCCTAGGATATAATGAAAATATGATCCATTTTCAAGAAGGACTAAAACGAAATGTAAACTCAGTTGCAGTTATCATTGTGAAGCCCAAAGATATAAAACATTTAAAATATAACACAAAATGTTCCAACAAAAGAAAGATATGCTCCAAACTATGAACTGAAACTCACGCAATAAAGGTGCGGTTAAAATAGAAAATTACACACGTGTACAGTGTACAGGTTCTATTTATTGTTATTGTTTCCAAGTATCAGTGCATAGTACATGCGTCACTACACTCGTCATTGTCTTTAAAACTGTTACAATGTGACGCGTGAGGAAGAGCAGATACAAAAATTATTTTTGTGCATGTTGATTGTTGAATTTGCGTAACAATATCTCGTAGTTGGTTTTGTTAGAACTTTTTCTTTGAAATGCCTCATCTGTACAGCTTTCCGTCTTAAAATCTGATCTTTAACAAGTCTTAACTCGTTTATACCTTCCTATCAATAACTGTTTAGTAATAACTGATAATCTAGTTGAAACTTTGCAAATCTCGACTCTTAAAAACCTCTCACTTCACAAGTCACGTGACGTTACAAGTAGTGAGTCAACACAACACGTGCCGTGTAACGTGTAATGACACTACGTGTTACGTTATACACTATACGCGTGAGTTACGCTGAATCAATCAACATGCACTTCAATCATTGAAACTTCTTGTACAAGTGTACTATGATCATCCTGCGTTGTAACTAAACAGGCATTTACTTGGAAATGTGAAGTTCGTTTGCTTGAGCGATTAAGTATTCCAATTTTAAAATTATTGTTGAATTCTGTCAAATAACTACTTTATAGTTAGGGTTTGGCAGAATTCCTGTCTGAGCTATTACAGCGAGCACTTAATTAGAAATGTACATGATTTGTATTTACTCTGTTGGTTTAGTCTCTTGTTGCAACTTAAGTAGACATTCCTGGGTATCAGATATGTAGTTAGTAAGTCAAGTTGTATAATTGTATTATGTATAATCTCCGCTGCGCAGTCTCGCAGACAACTATTGGCTTTGGCAATTTTTGCCAATTTCCGTATTAAAAGCAAACCATCGCAGAATTCGTATTGCGCGCGCTTCGGATTAATTAGGGCAACCAAGGAGAATGATTGCTTCATCGACAATTGAATGGAGTGTAAAGTGATATGTACTTTAAATTTTTGTTTAGTTAGCGCATTTTCCGCGGTATGCAGGGGATTTGTGCAGTTTATTATCTGTTGTGGCCCCGTTGATTGTGATAAAACTAGTTGTAGACACGTCAGCAATTATATTGGATCACCTGCTCAGTTTAGGCTTGTTACAGTCTCTAGATTACATGTTGTTATGTCTTGATGTTATGTCTTGATGTTGTGTCTTGATGTTATGTCTTGATGTTATGTCTTGATGTTATGTCTTGATTGTTCTCTCTCAGCTAATCCCCCAATGCCCTCATTTATGCTTATTTGCAAGTTCTGATATTTAAAAAATGCTTATATCCAGCGAACTGGGCATGAAATCTTGAAATCTGAAATTCTATATGAGAATTAAACACGTACTAGATACTTTGTGTTCGACAGAAGTTTTACATTCTATTCCCCCAGATATCAAGCTTATGTGAAAGTGAAGGAAGCGAAGCAGCCATTCTCATCGTTCTTGCCACGATATTCGTGGCAGGCCTTGTGGCCGTGGTCTTCTTCATGAGTAAGTTTAGGAGTAAGTTTAGTAGTAAGTTTAGTAGTAAGTTTAGGAGTAAGTTTAGTAGTAAGTTTAGTATGTTAAGTAGTAAGTTTAGTAGTAAGTTTAGTAAGTTAAGTAGTAAGTTTAGTAGTAAGTTAAGTAGTAAGTTTAGTAGTAAGTTTAGTAGTAAGTTTAATAGTAAGTTTAGTAAGTTAAGTAGTAAGTTTAGTAGTAAGTTTAATAGTAAGTTGAGTAAGTTAAGTAGTAAGTTAAGTAGTAAGTTTAGTAGTAAGTTTAGTAGTAAGTTTAATAGTAAGTTTAGTAAGTTAAGTAGTAAGTTTAGGAGTAAGTTTAGTAGTAAGTTTAGTAAGTTAAGTAGTAAGTTTAGTAGTAAGTTTAGTAAGTTTAGTAGTAAGTTTAGTAGTAAGTTTAGTAGTAAGTTTAGTAAGTTAAGTAGTAAGTTTAGTAGTAAGTTTAGTAAGTTAAGTAGTAAGTTTAGTAGTAAGTTTAGTAGTAAGTTTAGTAGTAAGTTTAGGAGTAAGTTTAGTAGTAAGTTTAGTAGTAAGTTTAGTAGTAAGTTTAGTAGTAAGTTTAGTAAGTTAAGTAGTAAGTTTAGTAGTAAGTTAAGTAGTAAGTTTAGTAGTAAGTTTAGTAGTAAGTTTAGTAAGTTAAGTAGTAAGTTTAGGAGTAAGTTTAGTAGTAAGTTTAGTAAGTTAAGTAGTAAGTTTAGTAGTAAGTTTAGTAAGTTAAGTAGTAAGTTTAGTAGTAAGTTTAGTAGTAAGTTTAGTAGTAAGTTTAGGAGTAAGTTTAGTAGTAAGTTTAGTAGTAAGTTTAGTAGTAAGTTTAGTAGTAAGTTTAGTAAGTTAAGTAGTAAGTTTAGTAGTAAGTTAAGTAGTAAGTTTAGTAGTAAGTTTAGTAGTAAGTTTAATAGTAAGTTTAGTAAGTTAAGTAGTAAGTTTAGTAGTAAGTTTAATAGTAAGTTGAGTAAGTTAAGTAGTAAGTTAAGTAGTAAGTTTAGTAGTAAGTTTAGTAGTAAGTTTAATAGTAAGTTTAGTAAGTTAAGTAGTAAGTTTAGGAGTAAGTTTAGTAGTAAGTTTAGTAAGTTAAGTAGTAAGTTTAGTAGTAAGTTTAGTAAGTTTAGTAGTAAGTTTAGTAGTAAGTTTAATAGTAAGTTTAGTAAGTTAAGTAGTAAGTTTAGTAGTAAGTTTAGTAGTAAGTTTAGTAAGTTAAGTAAGTTAAGTAGTAAGTTTAGTAGTAAGTTTAGTAGTAAGTTTAATAGTAAGTTTAGTAAGTTAAGTAGTAAGTTTAGGAGTAAGTTAAGTAGTAAGTTTAGTAAGTTAAGTAGTAAGTTAAGTAGTAAGTTTAGTAGTAAGTTTAATAGTAAGTTTAGTAAGTTAAGTAGTAAGTTTAGTAGTAAGTTTAGTAGTAAGTTTAGGAGTAAGTTTAATGGTAAGTTTAGTAAGTTTAGGAGTAAGTTTAATAGTAAGTTTAGTAAGTTAAGTAGTAAGTTTAGGAGTAAGTTTAATAGTAAGTTTAGTAAGTTAAGTAGTAAGTTTAGTAGTAAGTTTAGTAGTAAGTTTAGTAGTAAGTTTAGGAGTAAGTTTAATGGTAAGTTTAGTAAGTTTAGTAGTAAGTTTAGTAGTAAGTTTAGTAAGTTTAGTAAGTTAAGTAGTAAGTTTAGTAGTAAGTTTAGTAGTAAGTTTAGTAAGTTAAGTAGTAAGTTTAGTAGTAAGTTTAGTAAGTTAAGTAGTAAGTTTAGGAGTAAGTTTAGTAAGTTTAGTAAGTTTAGTAAGTTTAGTAAGTTTAGGAGTAAGTTTAGGAGTAAGTTTAGTAGTAAGTTTAATAGTAAGTTGAGTAAGTTTAGTAGTAAGTTTAGTAGTAAGTTGAGTAAGTTAAGTAGTAAGTTTAGTAGTAAGTTTAGGAGTAAGTTTAGTAGTAAGTTTAGTAGTAAGTTTAGTAAGTTAAGTAGTAAGTTTAGTAGTAAGTTTAGTAGTAAGTTTAGTAAGTTAAGTAAGTTAAGTAGTAAGTTTAGTAGTAAGTTTAGTAGTAAGTTTAATAGTAAGTTTAGTAAGTTAAGTAGTAAGTTTAGGAGTAAGTTAAGTAGTAAGTTTAGTAAGTTAAGTAGTAAGTTAAGTAGTAAGTTTAGTAGTAAGTTTAATAGTAAGTTTAGTAAGTTAAGTAGTAAGTTTAGTAGTAAGTTTAGTAGTAAGTTTAGGAGTAAGTTTAATGGTAAGTTTAGTAAGTTTAGGAGTAAGTTTAATAGTAAGTTTAGTAAGTTAAGTAGTAAGTTTAGGAGTAAGTTTAATAGTAAGTTGAGTAAGTTAAGTAGTAAGTTTAGTAGTAAGTTTAGGAGTAAGTTTAGTAGTAAGTTTAGTAGTAAGTTTAGTAAGTTAAGTAGTAAGTTTAGTAGTAAGTTTAGTAGTAAGTTTAGTAAGTTAAGTAAGTTAAGTAGTAAGTTTAGTAGTAAGTTTAGTAGTAAGTTTAATAGTAAGTTTAGTAAGTTAAGTAGTAAGTTTAGGAGTAAGTTAAGTAGTAAGTTTAGTAAGTTAAGTAGTAAGTTAAGTAGTAAGTTTAGTAGTAAGTTTAATAGTAAGTTTAGTAAGTTAAGTAGTAAGTTTAGTAGTAAGTTTAGTAGTAAGTTTAGGAGTAAGTTTAGTAGTAAGTTTAGTAAGTTAAGTAGTAAGTTAAGTAGTAAGTTTAGTAAGTTTAGTAAGTTAAGTAGTAAGTTTAGTAGTAAGTTTAGTAAGTTAAGTAGTAAGTTTAGTAGTAAGTTAAGTAGTAAGTTTAGTAAGTTAAGTAGTAAGTTTAGGAGTAAGTTTAATAGTAAGTTTAGTAAGTTAAGTAGTAAGTTTAGGAGTAAGTTTAATAGTAAGTTTAGTAAGTTAAGTAGTAAGTTTAGTAGTAAGTTTAGTAGTAAGTTTAGTAGTAAGTTTAGGAGTAAGTTTAATGGTAAGTTTAGTAAGT